GATGAAGAGCCTCATGTGATCTGCCTCCCCTTAAATCAGATAGGCGGTAACCCAGGTGACCAGGTCAGGAAGACTGTGTTAAATCCCGGTGCCACTAGATGTATCGCCAGCAGATGACCCGATCTGTTATCCACCCTCCGTTGGGCATGGAGCATTCGTCGTTATAACCAAGCGGGATAAGGACCTCATAATAGGTGACAATTTAAGTACTGAAGCACAGGATAGCATTAAAGAAACAACCGATGAGTCCAGCTCTTAGACAGCAGTTCTCGATGAACCAGTCACTCCTGAGGTACCCAACCAAACTGCACAACGACCCCAGCCACAGCCTGAGCTAATAGCCCCCCCCCGGGAGGTCGACCGGGCAGAAAATGTTATCCCCAAATGCGATTCCAGTATGCCAGACATGGGGACCCTCGCATCAACCCATGAACCCTCGCATCGCAGCTATCCAAAGTGGTACTGCACCTCCCTGGGAAATACCAGTGAGTGGAATGCCGTATGCCGTGACCCCGCCAAGTTCAAGTCCTCCCGCACCAAGTTACATGCACGCCCCACCAATGATGTCACTCAGCTGGAGGTGGACCCACTGGCCACAGCAATCAAGTATGGTTCCTCGAGGGTAAACATTTGACGAGTCATCAGCCAGTAACATCGTCTGAGAGAATCACTGCGCTGTGTACCTCGGAAGACTTCGTCGTCAAGTAGCATCGATGCAGGGGTTACCCTTCCCCAGCCAACGAGCCTAGACGAGATTCACAGCCGTTAGATGAAGACTTTACTGTGCTTGCCATCCAGTTCCAGCCCATTTCGCCAACGATCTTGGACATCGGGATCAGAAGATGACGGAATTAGTTACTCCATGGGCCCTGAATCTCAACAAGCTGCTCTGTCGCGGAGAAACGACTTGGTAACTGATGAGCGACAGGCTCCTGAAATGGACCTTGCATGAACTGTTTCTCTGATGAATAGGACTCGATTTAGTAATTATAAGTGAATGTTGAGAGCATTATTTCTTTTCACAGGGGCGAGTGTGGAGGTCATGGAAAATAGTTACCCCTTTTTTCATTGTTACCCTCCCCCTTCTCTTATAGTATTCTGGTCCAGACTGTTTTGCCCTGAGGGGTAATAGATCAACCCATGTCACTGGGTTGCCACAGGTGCAGGGCCAGGAAGCTGGCAACGTTCATTGTTCTCCATGCAATGATCCTACCATCACATGTCACAGTTTTCACATTATTAAAGTTTGTCTTTATCCCTGCACTCCTGACTGTACCTCCATTATTTCCTACTGGTATGTAATCTCTTTTCGCTTTTATTAAAGTGAATTAATAGCAAGGAATGTACGTTATTTAGTAAATCTGGACAATAGTGAAGTCAGTGTAATAAATTCAATTAAATATGAGAAATAAATGAAAGTTGTCTAGTTTGGAACCCAATATTACGCTACTGTGTGGAAAGAGTTCAGCAAAGTTAAGAGTTCCCATGCTAAATTAGTACACTAGGGGAACTCCACTGTACTGAAGTTAGATGTATTGTGATGTCCCAGACCTATTTCTGATGTCTTTCCAAATGTGAAGTATTCTTTCTCTGAAGAGAGCTGTTCATGTATAAGGAATTCTCCAGATCAGAAATGTTGAGACACTTGTATGACTTTACTTGATTGCCTATGGGAGTCGAGTAGAATGTAGAGAAATGCAGTATTTTTGAGATGATTCTCCAAGCTTTTAGACATGTTTTTCTAGATTTTGGGAAACACTGTGTATTCAGAGGTACACATAGGCAATGTATTCCCCTTCTATTTGCAATACTGCTCTTAGCACAAAGGAATTTAGGAACCCACAGGGACCAGCTAAGACCATGCTGTGGCCTTGTGTGAGTCATGTTTCCCCAGCCCAGCTAATTCTCAACTGTTTATTGCCAGGGACAGTAGGGCTGTGCAATGCTGCAGTGACATATGCTTTCCAGGAGAACTGCACCTTTGTTGTATAAATTCAATCACGATTATAGTTGTCAGAATGGCTGTGTGATGCTAAACCGTGACTCGCCTACATGTACCTGTATGTTTGTAGTGCTGATATAAGTTTTAGCAAGTATCAATATAGTGATTATTAATATTTGGTTATTAGCGACAAGTTTATCTGAAGAGTACAGGACAATAGCCATCCAGTTAGTGGTTTCAAACTGCTATTAGAACTTCGATTTTAATGTGGTTGTGTTGTTCAGCCAAAAGACTCTTTTTGTTATTTTCTGAAAGACACGTAGCCCAAGAGTTGTATTTTACAAATTGTTTAGTGTCTCAACAAATTAAACTAATTGAAAAACAAAGTAATTGTGAAACATCCATCGTCCTCCATGCTACGATCCTACCAGCACATTAACGTTTGTCTTTCTTCCTTGACTCCTGACTGTACCTCCAGTATTTCTTACATGATCATGAACGTTTAATCATTTTAATGTGACTCCCGCAAGCACCATTCCTGGTTGCCACGCAAGTTTCACATTTATACTGGCCTTTTGAGGGAATAAAATGGAGTGCCCTTTCCCAGACCAAAGCTTTTGCTCATTTCTGTAGACGAGAGTTATTTTCTTAAATCTGTTTTTCAGAGTTTGTCACCTGGTACGTCAGGATATGCCTTCGAGGAAGCATGGTCTCCTGTATCAGTTATTGAGCCGAATACACGTCCATGTCACCCACAGCAAGAAACCAACCACTCTGGCACCACGCGACATCTGGCGACGATTATTTTGTGGCGGCCAAGACGCCGCTTTGGGTTATAATGACGACTTGTAAAACTGTTTTAAACACAGTCTGATCCTTTAAGGTGCAGCAGGAAAATAACATTTTATTTTCAACCCTATTAAGTAATTCAGACTGGATATGGTTCTTTATCTCCATACAAAATGTAACTGGTATACATCATAACTTCTTTGAAATATGGGTGAAATCCGCATAGCTGTAGGCCTAATTCACAATACAATTCCTGACAGTTTCCAACATGCCTAGTTTTAATTTACTTTTATTATGCTAATGTAGTCAGTTTTGGCATCTGACTCCACTTTTGGCCTTGTAAAATAGTGTTTAAATATTTAATGTTAAAAGTTTCCTTGATTAATTCTACTTTTAATTGAAATTAATTAATTAATTAATTCTACTTTTAATGATGCTTGGTGTTTAAACAGTAATGCTACTTCACAAAATAATCTTCAAGTTGTTCAACTTGCCATGATGCCTTGGAGTTTCAGTTTACTTTCATGTACCAAGTTTTTGCAATAAAATTTGTTTTTGGTCAACAACGTAAAAACACCTAATATATACAATGGCCATATGCGAAGCATGTTTGTGGTCGGGGTCGCCAAGCCACGCAGAGCTCATATTCAAACATTATCAAAACAAGTTTTTAAG